CCCCAAACTTCTCGAACAATAATGGCTCAAAAAAATAAGTCAAATTCTAGCTTCAATATCTCTGTACTTATACCCCCATCAAAGGATCAAACTTCTCAAACAATAATGGCTCAAACAAATAAGTCAAATTCTAGCTTCAATGTCACTGCTGCTCAGGAAAACAAATCAAGTTCAAGTGTTAATATCATATTAGCTCATGAAAATAGATCAAATTCGAGTTTTAATAGCACATATGCACAAGAAAATAGATCAAATTCAAGTTTTAATAGCACATTTGCCCATGAAAACAGGTCAAATTCAAATTTCAATATTACATCTACTAATGTAGATCTTCCGGAAAGCAATAGATCTTCTACAGTATCTACTGATTCTGTACCGTCTTCGCCGTCCACAATATCCTCTTTTAGTACAAATTCAGTCTCATCACGATTGTCTTTATCAAAAATCACTCGTCGCGTACTCACGCGTCGCCGAAATTCAACAAGCCTGGTCTCGGCTCCAAGAATTATGGAAATGCCAGGATCATATCCATGTGCTACTGTTGTTGACAGCGATGAATGTGATGAATTAGGAAATATGTCACATGACCAACCTCCATGGCAGAAACAGAAGCTTCGTCGTAACATGTCTACATCAGATTTTCAACCTGGCTCAAAATCGCATTCTTCAATTGTCATGGGTAACCGGATATTTGTTTCTGACAAATCTCTTCCTACAATTCCTGCTGCAAATTGACTCAAGTTATATTTATAATCCTGAATTTATATATTTATAAGTTTGGTCAAATGACACTAGAGTAGAATCGCCACCCAAAAAATTTCAAAACTATATATTTCGAAATCAAATTTCGTGCTGTTAGGTTATGGTTAGGGCTTTGCCACTAAGGTAAAACTCGAAGGTATTTAATATACCAAACTAAAATGAACGTTTGTTTTGATCGTGCTACGTTGCACCTGACCTTGAAATTTGATTGGCCGTGAAATTTTTTAGGGTGGTGATTTTACCCCAGTTGTCAAATGATATCATTTTGCTAAAACTGTCTATTTATTTGCATAAAAGAGATTATACATAACCTTTTTTATCACAAATTTTTAAATATAAAATTTAAATATAAATTATTTTTTTTATTGAGGGCTTTTATGGAGTTTTTTTTTTGTATATTTTTTTTTCTTATTATATGTATAGTGAACGCCATTGTAAAAGCCAAAGAAATCTTTATATGAACCTTTTTTTTTAAAAAACAAAAAAAAGCAAATAAATTAATTTATATGTGAATACGTATTATTGCTAACTTAAAGTTTGGTTAATATGAAGTGTTTGAATACAATTTTCGAATGGCTGATGTTGAAAATCATGTGACATTTTGGGCCGGAAATTGCAGATCGGAAAACATTCATTCCGCTTATAATACATAAATAATAACCTTTTAGTATTCTAACAAAAAGCTTTCCTTGTGCAATTTTGCTAATATACCTACTAACCTGACTATATTGTAATCACTAACCCCAACTTAAACGAAGATAAGTTCAATGACACCCCAGTATCGTAATCAAAGACCACGTGACTAGCGGAAAAAATTTTTTTAAGTTCGTTTGTGTTAGGGTTAGTGCCTAATTTAGTGTTAGAATTAAATTTTTGTTAGTGCACAAAATGCAGTTTTTTATGCAAAATTTGAGAAAAAAGCGATTTTTGACAAAACGACTGTTTGTTTTTGAAATTTTCCAATCTGCAATTTCCGGTCCAAAATGATTTATATTTAAAAAAAAGCATTTTTTATTATCTAAAAATAACAATCAGTTTTAAAAAAACCTTTAAAATTTTTTTGCAAAAGTTATTCTATGTATATGTATCTAGGAATCCGTGGGGATCCTGAGGCTTTAAAAGGCGGTTGTGTGCCAAATAATAACACAGCCAATGATTGGTACAAATTTCGTACCAAAAGAATTTTCCAATTGAAGATCTTTTATCAAAAAGATAATAATTAGGGTAAGGGTTAGTTGGGAATTAAGGTTAGTCCTTCTGGTATTTTTTATTAATGTTCCGAAACAGGTTTAGCGTTTTTCACTTTTTTTCTGTTTTTGTCTTTTCAGGCTCATCAGAAAAATTTTTTTGGCACAGATCTGTGATAATCTGTGAAAATGCAGATTATTGCAGATTTTTTAACACAGATCTGTGCAGATATTCAAAAATGCAGATCATTACAGATTTTTTAATTTAAATCTGCATAAATATTCTTATTACAGAATTTTTATGATATCTCATAATTCAGTGATCAGAACTCAACAATTTTGGTACCATTCGATTCGTCTTAATGAGATGAATCGAATGGTGCCAAAATCGTTGAGTTTTGATCATTAGAACACGAGATAATTATATTTAGGTAAATTTTAAAAATACTTAAATATCTCGCCAACCAGTAGTCTATATTTAACGCTAAAATTGAATTACTAGTTGGCAAGATATTTGCAAAAAACATTTTGCAATGTAGCTCTTTACAAAACAAATTTAAGTTCTGTACAGAACTGCGTTATGAAATATTTTTTGTAATTATCTCACCAACCAGTGATTCAATTTTAGCATTTTTAATACTATTCAAACCGTCTCATTGAGAGAAATTGAATAATACTAAAATTATTAAATTTGGACTACTAGTTGGCAAGATATGTATATGTTTTCAAAATTTACCTAATATAATTATCTCATGTTCCAATGATCAAAACTCAACAATTTTGGTACCATTTGATTTGTCTCATTAAGACAAATCGAATGGTACCAAAATTGTTGAGTTCTGATCACTGGATCATGAGATATTATAAAAATTCTGTAATAAGAATATTTATGCAGATTTAAATTAAAAAATCTGTAATAATCTGCATTTTTGAATATCTGCACAGATTTGTGTTAAAAAATCTGTAATAATCTGCATTTTCACAGGTTATCACAGATTTGTATCAAAAAAATTTTCCTGATACTGATCTGTTAATTAAAACAAACAACTTTATTGGCTCTGTATTACATGGTTGGACATGGTTTTAAGACAACCCCAAAAAAAAAAAAGATCTGTGTTATATGAATTTGAAAAATCTCTAACTGCAATAAAAAAACTATTAAATTATAGGGAATTGCTATTTCTATCATGGATCATACAAAAAATATAAAAAATTCTATTTTTAAATAATCAATCAAATTTAAGAAATTAATTTTTTAAAATTAAAATTTTTTTATTAAGTTAGAGTCTGTTGAGTTTCTAAATAAAGTTGTAGAGAAAATTTTCTGATTCTAATGATGGTTAGATCATCAAAATTGGCTTGGTAGATCCCAATATATTTGGAGGGTTCCTTGATATTTCTCCAATAGCTATCTACCTGACAACCATCTCCCTTAAAATTTTTTATCTGATGACACTTCCCCAACATAAATTTTTTACCTGACAATACTTTCCTGATATAAATTTTTTTTCTAACAACACTTCTCTGACATAAATTTTTTTCCCAACACAACTTTCCTGATACAACTTCCTCAACACAACTTTCAATATGTTTCTCTGATATTAACTACTTCCCTGATATTAACTATTTCCTTAATATTAACTATTTCTCTGACATTAACTACTTCACTGATATTAACTACTCTCCCAACATTAACTACTTCCTTGATATTAACTACTTTCTCGATATTAACTATTTCTCACATTATAGCTGTTTTCAAAAAGGTGTGAACAACAATTTTCACATACCTATCTATGTGGAAAATCGAAGAATTGAGAAATTATTATTAGTAAAAATTGAAGATCTGATTAGAGTTGGCTTTGAAGGGGGTATAAGTACAGAGATATTGAAGCTAGAATTTGACTTATTTTTTTGAGCCATTATTGTTCGAGAAGTTTGGGGTATAGGTGCAGAGATATTGTTTTTATTACATTTGGGAGTTTGATTATCTGTAGTGGCAGAGTTCAACTGAAGTCCAGTGGAAATATTTACTTCACTAACAGCAGTTTTAAGAGTTGCCAAGGTTGAAGCCATTCTTGCTCGAAGAGAACCAGAGGAAAGTGATCTCCTCGGACCAAAAAGTGGTTTCTGAGATGAAGATGGAGGCTTAAGATGAGAAGGTATTGAAGAGTTTGAAGGAGAAGAATTTTCATGCATCATAGATTTACGCAAGAATTTTGGAAGAGAATCTTGAACCATAAGGTCAAAACAATGTTGTTGAAGTTTATCAAATATATCTTTTCTAAACATTTTTGAATCTATTTTTTGTCTACATTGATTTGCGAGATCCTGTGGAACATTTAAAGG